CTTCGCAATTATTTCCTCGCTAATCCTTTGCAATATTTATCTCACTATTTCATAGCTAATCCTTTACAATTATTACCAAAATTCTTTTCTTGATAATCCGTAATTAATCTCTTGCTAATCCGTAACTAATCTCTCATAATTTTATTAACATAATAAATATTCCTGTTAATGTATCATCATAACATTATAATATCAAATGTTTAACATTTAAATTATTACTCATATTCTTGGAAAAAGAAAACAAACTTATCAACTTTCAATATAAAAATATTGTTCAAACATAATTAAAATAATGTTTCAAACAATTAAAACATAACAAATTTCAACTAAAAAATTCTATATAACACAATTAAAAATAGAAACAAAGTTTAAGTATATTTTGATCATTGTTTCTTTAAGACAGATAATAGTTCTTCTTGCAGTATTTTTGTAATTAATTATTACTAATATATATATATATATATATATATATATATATATATATTAGTAATAGATGCGAGTATTTTAATTATTAGTTTATTAATAAGATGGATATATTATTATAATTCAACTTAAATATCTGCTTAATTTTTATTTAATACTTTTTAAAATTTAAAATGATTAAAATAAAATTATTAGTGAGAGTTAATTATTGAATGATTATTCAAATTAAAAATTATAGATTTAAAATTAAAATTATTTTAAAAAATATTATTTAAATTTATATTTTATTTTACAATTTATTTAAATTAATTTTTATATTATTCTTATTTTTTTATGATAAAAAATTCATTAATATATATATATATATTAATAAAATAAATTTTAAATAATTTTGTATAAAATAAATAAAATAAAAAATATCTATGAGTATTTATAAATACTTATATGTAAAAAAAATTATAAATATTTTTAAAATTTATAACTAACTAATAACAAAAGAGGTTTTTAACAGACAAATAACGCTTATTGGAAAAGATATTATATAATTAATCAATCCATGTATAATATGTTGATATAGTAGAAAATTTTAAATATAATTTAAAAATTGGACATAAGTTTGGTTACCGACTCAGTATGAAATAGTTAACAAAGAAAGAGAATATGGTTTAAGAAATTATTTTATGAAACAACGCGCCAATCTAAATGAAAAAAACGATATCGAAAGGAAAACAAAATTAAGGTTACTTTATATTCACTATGTCTTACGAAATAGTATCATAGAAAACTGAATAAATAATAAAACATAAAAAACCAACATTTAAAAATTAGGAAATATAAATATTATAAGTTTACAAATATTTAAGAAAACAAATATTCGATTTTGAGTTTCTTATCATATAAAGGATGCATGAGTTCTTAATTACTTGTTAAGTAAAATTAAATTTTTAAATTTTGTATTTTTGGTTAACTTTTTATTACAAAAGGAGTAAAATAAATATCTTTATTGATTTTTTTAACCTGATTTGTAGCAAGTATTTAAGGTATGTAATTCTTAATAGTATAATTCAATTCAGGTTTGTATGGTGAATTAAATTTTAGATTTTGTTTATTCTATTAATTAAATGAAAATAAGAACAACTTGATAATAATTTTAATTTTATAGTTAGCTCGTTGTTGTAATTGTGATGGTAACAATACTTATTAAAAAGATGAAGTTGACTTTTGCTAGGATATTTATTAATATGAATTATTTGACTTATCAATTAACCAGATTTTTATACAATTGAAAAATTATATAATTCATCTGCCACCCGTATTTCTAATACAACGGCTAATAATATATATATAGAAAATAAACTCACCAGAACATGTGTCATGATAAATAAATAAATATATAATTAAATAATATTAAATATATAATTTTTTAAATATTATAGTTTGATTTAATAATTGAAATTAAAGATAATTTTATTACGATAATATTATTGGAATTAATTTAAATGTTTGAAGTATTATTAATTTTAGATTTTTCTTATTTACAACTTTTTTTAAATGTCTCAATAAATTAAAGAGGATAATATATATAATTTATATTAATTTTAACTCTTAACACGTAAGATCAACGTAAAGAAAAATAACTAAATTTATTAACCAATTATTAGAGCATGAGATATGATATATTTAAAGTTTAAGGTGAAAAAGAAGAAAGGTGGTAGAAGAGTATAACATTAGTTTAATGAAGAGGGTAGGTACTGGTGTGATTTGATTCTTAACCTATTTTCCAAAATTTTGAAGTAGAAAGTGAGGTTAGGCAAGTATGACTATTGAATATGCATTATCAAATGAGGAAAATAGGTGGTGTGAATGTACACTTTTGGTTGACATTGTTATCAAAGTAACCAAAGTAGAGTGATTTTGTTACAATGGAATTGAAATTTTGCCACATTAATAGAAAACACAAAATAACTTCATGTGCATCTTTTTAGTTTTGTTATAATTGTACAAATTCGGAGAGTGCTTCCAAATTATCATACGTGGGAAGTTTAAAGTTGAAGAAACAACCATTAAACCTTTTTCTTTTTCTTCTTCAATTCAATTTATGATATTTTTTTTCACGTCATCCATGTTGTTGTTAAGCTTCCACGATCCAAAATGTCCAAAACAGTTTTTTCTTATTTTTAACATCACTTTTCATTGCTTTTGAAAACAAAATTAAGACATAATTAAACCACCCAGGTATATCATAATTAACTGATACATATCATTGGGTTCGGTAGATTACCATGTTATTAAGAAGATTTTTGCAAAATAATAGTTGATAATTTGATTAAATTATTGTTTTAATTTCATAGAAATTATATAGTTAGATAATACAATATAGTTGACATAATAGTAAGATTTTTTATTGAAAATATAGTTTTCTGATTATATAATGTGTCAATAAGTAATTTTAGATAATAGATCAAAATTTGGAAGTTGTAAAAATAATTTAAAATTATTCAAATAGATATAATTAAGGGAGGAAACATGTTGTGAAGTTGTAGAAGATGATAGTTTTATAAAACATATACACACTTTTCTAACTAATTGAAAGATGTATATTTTTGGTACTTTTATTTTTATTCTACTTTCTATATAACTTTATCTTATATCCTTTTTAATGAGTAATTTTGATGGAATTACAAAATGTAATAACAAAAATATGATTATTTTGTAAATAATAATAATAATAATAATAATAATAAAAATGGTTAGAATTAACTAAAATGGTGGTGATAGAAATCATTTGTTAGTTAATCAGATTAAGAATGCAAACAAATTTATTACATATGTTAGAAAACAACAAACGAAACTATCAAATTTGGGCAAAATCAAATTCCTTTATTTAATTAAAAATACTATATCTTGGCAATTATCATCAGTTTTGAATTCATCAAAGTGATGAACAAACTTGAACAAGTCAAGTAGAATGGGTTAACATTCTAAATTTGTTAATCTAATGTATTTGTCACATAAACCCACCCACAAATATTTGAAGGGAAATGTATTCAGTTATCTAAAGATCATTTTAAATAACTAATTTAATTTTTTTAAATAATACAATTAATTAATATTAATAAAAATTTAACATTCTTCATAAATGTAATTTTAATATAAATATATTTGTAATATTTTTTAAATTAATAATAAATTCTATTTTTTAGTATATTTACTAACATATATTTATAATTTTATTCATAAGTGTAATATATTATATAATATTTTTAATTAATATTTATTAATTTTAATATAATATTATATTTTTCAATATTTTAACTTATTAAAATAATATTTAATATTAATATTATACTTTTATTAATTTCTTACTTACATAAATTTAAGTAATATATATGTGTAAGTATTATTTAAATCAATAGTATTATATTAATTCGTTGATTTAATATAATAATAAAATTATATCATAAGTAGATTTTACTTTAATATTTTAAATAAAATTTTCAATTTAATAATTTAAAGTTTTTTTTTTAAATTAAAAACCAACATTTGGTTATTGGGAGATGAATTCCCATTAGTTGTCATCATATATATCAGTGGACATTTTGCAGTCCAGATTTATTTCTGACAATCAACATTTTTTAATTCAGAATTTGGAGACTATCAACATTTTTCTAGTTCATAATTGGACTTCTCAGTAAAAAAGTTGAATTTATAATTAATTATAAAGGCAAAGGTTTTATATTTTGTGAAGAGTTTAGTATTTTTTATTTATTTAAAGTATATACCCTGTACACGTAACAAAATTGAAGTTACTAATTAAAGAAAGTATCTACGGTGTCTCTCAGCCGCAGCAGAACATAGCACACAGGTTCGTAACAACCGAACCTAGGCTAGCCAAATGGTAGGACCCACTTGTAGTGCGGCTTTAGCATGCCACATAGAACATGTCACACGTGGCATCACTGTGAATCCTTAGCTGTCGACAAAGAAAACAGAACAGTGATGAGGTCGAAGTTTGTAATTGCACAAACAACAACACCTGCAAGCACAACAAGAACAACTCTGGTCCCCACGCTTCCTTCTCCTACCCCCTCTTCTTCCTTATATATCCACCCTCTCTTCTCTTCACAACAACCCCTGCACCACAAGCCCCTCAACTGTGTGCACTCTCTCTCTCTCTCTCCCACCTTTCTTTCTTCTTCAGTTTTGGGTATTCTGTCTTCATCACAAGAGACAGCCCTTGTTGTTGTGATTCTATTCTCTTACAAGCTTTAACCTCTCAATTCTTAGTTACTGTTTCCTCAGGATCCCTGTTTATCAACCCACTCCATCCAATCTCGGATCTTCCTCCAATAAATCCAGATCTGTTTCTTTTAATGTGAAAAATACCCCCAATCCTTTCGGATATATATCTTTTTCTACTTTCTCTGTTCAAGCACTCTGTAACAGAATCAGAACACTCCAATAACACTCCACAACTCTTCCAACAACATAACTCAATTAAAACTATCCAAAAACAAAAAAAAGCTCCAGGGGTTCACCTTTCTGTTACTTTGTTTCTTGTTTTCTCCTGGTGAACAATGTCGAACGCTTTATCTTTCACACTCCCCGCTCTAAACAACCCTCAGATAAACGCTTTCAACAACCCTAACAAAACGCGCTTGCTTCTGAGAAGCAGGGCTGCAAGATGCTTGACCTCTATCGTAGAGAAGAAAAGACTGTTTGGAGCACCGGTGCGGTCGAGTGGGTTGGACCGGATCCGGTTGCTGCAATCAGGGCGGTTGCCCAAATGGAGGGTAGCTGTCAGGTCTGCATTCTCTGCCGTGCCGGAGAAGCCGCTGGGGCTGTATGATCCGGCGATGGACAAGGACTCGTGCGGGGTGGGGTTTGTGGCGGAGTTGTCGGCCGAGTGTAGCCGCAAAACGGTGCGTTTTAGTTTGATTTTGGATTTGGATGTGACGTGCGTGGTCTTTACCATTGATGAGGTGATATCATGTTTGTGCGTGTGCACGCACTGCAGGTAACCGACGCGCTGGAAATGTTGGTGAGGATGACGCACAGAGGTGCTTGTGGATGCGAACCCAACACTGGAGATGGTGCAGGCATTCTAGTTGCTCTGCCTCATGTCTTTTACCAGGAGGCATGTTTTTTGTTTTTTAATTTTACAAATATCTAACTCTATGTGATGTGCATGTGTAATAGTGTGTATATTTATTGGGATTTTTCATTGGAAGTATCTTTATGAATTATATTTTTTGTGAGAGTAGGTTTGATTTTATGAATTTTATTTTTTGTGAGAGTAGGTTAGATTTTATGAATTCTAATGACATCTTGATTAATTTAAGATTTTATTTTTTTACTTTCAATTCAATTGGTAAGGTTTTTTTTTATGGATAAAGATTCAATAATAAGCATTAATTGTGGATGCTTACTTTTTTTCTTTCTTTCTATTCTTTTTCTTTTGCTTTTTGTTTTCTTGTTATTCTTTTGATAATGGTTACTTTTTTAACAGTATTACCATTCCAAAATTGTGTTATAGATATTGTTGTTATCAGAGGAAGGAACATATTGTTTCTCTCTATTATTAATCAAATTATTTTTATAATAAAGAGCTTTTCATTTGCTTTTTTCTGTTTCCTTTTCCCGAGAGGGGCTTTTATTTGAGATCAGTACCTGCCGCTGAAACTGTTCAGTTGGGTAGAAAATAAAAATAAAGAGTAAATAATAAATTAAGTACGTATTTACTCGTACTTAGTCTGTAACCTCTTAATTGATCATGAATAAAGAAAAAGTATTTGATATATTGGTACTTGGCTTAGTAAGTTAGTATCTTTCACAGTTATATTAAGTAAGAGGTTTCCCCTTGTTGCAGGTTGTGGAATTTGAGCTTCCTCCCCAGGGAAAATATGGAGTTGGCATGTTTTTCTTGCCAAAGTCTGAAAATCGAAGGGAGGAAAGCAAAAAATTATTTGGCAAGGTAATTCTGACTCCGAAGTTTCTGTCTTTAATTGATATTTGATTTGAAGATTCATGTATAATAATGGCTTTTGAATACTTTTTATTTTTATTTTTTTTGTGGTACTTTTTAACCTATTTTGATCATGCTGAAGTTCTCCTCACCAGCTAAAAGTTATTTTCTAATATTCTTTTTGTAATTACTGTTTATTGTTATTTTATATTTTAGTGACATTTGTTAGTAACTATGCTTTGCTTTTGGTTTAAGGTTGCTGAATCTCTGGGGCACACTGTTCTTGGTTGGCGGTCTGTGCCCACTGATAACACAGGATTGGGCAAATCAGCCCTGCAGACTGAACCAGTGATTGAACAGGTGTTTCTTACGCCAAGTGCTCAATCAAAAGTTGATTTGGAAAGACAGGTACGTTTTCTACTTGTGGCGACATTGGTGGCAAGACATTTGTGTTCAAATATTTAAGTGAACAAAATGATAGAAATAGATTTCTTTCCCATGAAAAGATTAAGTTTATTTTAGATAGGAAAATGATAATTTGATATCCCAAATTCATACAACTCCTATAAACATCTCTCTTTTAATATTATAATAATAATTTTACTTTATTTTTATTTTTAGGAAAATGATATTTTGATCACCAAATCCATATAACTCCTATAACTCCTATAAGCAACTCTCTTTTAATATTATAATAATAGTTGTGCTTTATTTTTATTCAATCATTAATAAAAGTGAGTTGTTTGAAGGGTTGTATAGTTTCAGGTTGTCAAAATATCACCACTCTTATTTTTATTAAATCATTCTGTAGATTATTATATTAAATCATTCTGTAGATTATTATATTAATAAAAGTGAGTTGTTTGAAGGGTTGTATGGTTTCTGGTTGTCAAAATATCACCACTCATTTTATATATAACATCCTAGTGAGAGTTGAATTTATTGCTTAACAAATTTTGGTTCAGCTCATTTTTATATTGCTGTATGATTGATTTAAAGTGATAATAGTGCTTAATAGATACTTGGTTTTTGCAGATGTACATATTAAGGAAGCTCAGCATGGCAGCTATTGCATCTGCATTAAACCTCCAAAATGATGGCATTACTGATTTCTATATCTGTTCACTTTCATCAAGGTCTGTTGTCAAGAGTCAACCTCATCATCTGGACGAAAGTATGTTTACTGCAAAAGTTTTATATAATCAATATCAAATTTCTGATGGTTATCCAATTTTGTACAGGACTGTTGTTTACAAAGGTCAGCTAACACCAGCTCAGTTGAAGGATTATTATTTTGCTGATCTTGGCAATGAAAGGTTTACGAGCTACATGGCCCTGGTAAATATATTACCCATCAACCTTTTTTCTTTCTCCACTAACTCTATACTCCAACAAACAGCATGGGAACAACCAGTAACTGGAGAGATGCAAGGTTGGGGAATGACTTCTGAGGCATTGAGGTTTGAATGATCTCTTAAGTTCTTCCGCTTCCTTGATTACTGTTTGAGTTGGATGCTGGATTGGATGCAATGGTTGAGTTGGTAAGAAAGTTCATTATCAAGATAAATCATGTTTGCAGAAATATCTGCTGATACTTTCTGTCGGTAGTTGATCTGGAGGACAATTTCTTCAAAGTGGTGGCGTGAAAAACCATTTTTGGTGAAAGTGAATTGGATATTTAGGATTTCTAGATTTTCGACTGGAGCTTAATATATGCGTTGTATTGTACCTGGAATAAACAACATTTTTTGCACTTGATTTTCTACACTGTTTTATATTCTGTTTGGTGTGCATATGTGCAGATACATTCACGGTTTTCTACAAATACTTTTCCTAGCTGGGATCGTGCTCAACCGATGCGCGTATTAGGACACAATGGGGAAATCAACACACTCAGAGGCAATGTTAATTGGTATGCCTAGAATAAATTTTTGCTTTACTGTAGTTTGATGGTATTATCCATAAGAATACTGATTGCACTGCGATTTAAATGGTGTATCGGCATTATACCCATGTGGCTGTAATGAATGAATGGTAACTTTTGTCTGTTAAATACATGATTGTATCTTTATTCCTCCTTAAAAGATGGACACTGTGTTAGTTGAGTGTGCATCAAGCTTGGTGCTCATTGGAAATTGTGGGTGATGTATTCATTGCATTTTGATAGATGATTATGGGTGTATAAAAGCATTGGAGTGTGAGATTTACTCATTGCATTTTGATAGATGTAGTTACAATATATAAGCTAATATTGTCTTATTTTTTAGGATGAAGGCACGTGAGGGTTTACTAAAGTGCAAGGAGCTTGGTTTACCAGAGAATGAATTAAAGAAGCTTTTGCCCATAGTGGATGCATGTTCATCGGATTCAGGTGAAATCGTATCTGAATCTTCTATTAGCACACTAGACTATGGTCATATACTGAATCCTAACGGGTAGTTTTTATATTGCAGGAGCTTTTGATGGTGTGCTTGAATTTTTGCTTCATTCAGGAAAAAGTCTTCCTGAAGCTGTTATGATGATGATTCCTGAAGCATGGCAAAATGACAAGAACATGGATTCTCAGCGTAAAGCATTTTATGAATATTTCTCAGCTCTCATGGAGCCATGGGATGGGCCAGCTCTTATATCATGTAAATTTTCCTGGGGCTGCAGTTCTATCACATGTTAATGTCCTGTTCATATTGGTTTTATGATTTGGCACTAATCTAATCTCATCTAATATCACTACAGTTACCGATGGTCACTACCTTGGAGCTACTTTGGATAGGAATGGACTGCGACCAGGCCGTTTCTATGTCACCCATAGTGGACGAGTTATAATGGCAAGTGAAGTTGGGGTTGTAGACATTCCACCAGAAGATGTGTGTAGGAAAGGTAGACTAAATCCTGGCATGATGCTTCTGGTTGATTTTGAGAAGCATGAAGTTGTAAATGATGATGCCTTAAAAGAGCAGTACTCATTGGCAAGACCCTATGAGGATTGGCTCAAAAATCAGAAAATTGAACTTAAAGACATCGTTGACTCTGTTCCTAAATCTGAAAGAGTACCACCACCTATAGCAGGAGTGGCTCCAGTAAGTAAAATATATAAGTTGTTGTGAACAACTCACAAATTTCTTGTGGACAATTCTAATTGTTGCATCATCAATGAACTGCAGCTAGACAATGATGATGTGGATATGGAAAATATTGGCATTCATGGCTTAGTGGCTCCATTGAAAGCTTTTGGGTACGCAAAATCCAACATTAATATTTGCTCAATTTATCTGCTGTTTATGATAAAAATGTTTTTTATATTCTGCTTTATTCTTGCAGATATTCAGTTGAATCACTGGAAATGCTATTACTTCCTATGGCCAAGGATGGTGTAGAAGCCCTTGGGTCAATGGGAAATGATACACCACTAGCTGTCATGTCTAATAGAGAAAAACTCACTTTTGAATATTTCAAGCAAATGTTTGCTCAAGTTACAAACCCTCCTATTGATCCTATTAGAGAGAAAATAGTCACTTCTATGCAATGTATGGTTGGTCCAGAGGGCGATCTGACAGAAATCACTGAGGAGCAATGCCACCGCCTTTCCCTCAAAGGTCCCCTTTTATCCACTGAAGAAATGGAAGCCATAAAAAATATGAATTATAGGGGATGGCGCAGCAAAGTTATAGACACAACGTACGCAAAGGAGCGTGGTCAGAGAGGGTTGGGGGAAGCCTTGGACAGGATATGTGAGGAAGCACATGATGCAATTAATGAAGGCTATACCACACTTGTGCTGTCTGATAGAGGTATTACAATATTAGCACCTCTGTATTGCTTAAAGTTACTTCTTAACAGTGTATGTCAATCTAATATATTTGCATTTGTGATTGAATCTGTAGCCTTCTCAAGGAAACGTGTTGCTGTGAGCTCCCTCCTGGCTGTTGGTGCTGTCCATCAACACCTAGTTAAAACACTTGAGCGCACTAGAGTTGCCTTAATAGTTGAATCTGCTGAGCCACGTGAAGTGCATCATTTCTGCACACTTGTTGGTTTTGGTGCTGATGCTATATGCCCATATTTGGCTCTGGAGGCAATTTGGCGACTGCAAGTTGATGGAAAGATCCCACCAAAAGCAAGTGGTGAGTTCCACTCAAAAGAAGAGTTGGTCAAGAAGTATTTCAAAGCAAGCAACTATGGAATGATGAAGGTTCTTGCCAAGATGGGAATATCAACTTTGGCATCATACAAAGGTGCTCAGATTTTTGAAGCTCTGGGTCTTTCATCGGAAGTGATTGAAAAGTGCTTCGCTGGAACTCCAAGTCGAGTTGAGGGTGCAACATTCGAGACACTTGCTCGTGATGCTTTACAACTGCATGAGTTGGCTTTTCCTTCCCGTTTTTTCTCTCCTGGAAGTGCAGAAGCTGTAACTTTACCAAATCCTGGTGATTATCACTGGAGAAAGGGTGGTGAAGTTCACCTGAATGATCCTCTTGCTATAGCAAATCTTCAAGAGGCTGCCAGAACTAACAGTGTAGATGCATATAAACAGTATTCCAAGCTCATTCATGAATTGAACAAGGCTTGCAATTTGCGTGGACTTCTGAAATTTAAAGAGGCGACTGTTAAAATTCCTATTGATGAAGTGGAGCCTGCTAGCGAAATAGTAAAACGGTTTTGCACTGGGGCCATGAGTTATGGGTCAATATCATTGGAGGCACACACAACATTAGCAATGGCTATGAATAAAATTGGAGGGAAATCTAATACAGGTTTGTTTAACTTATTGGAAGAATATCCAAACAGATTTTTTTTTACCTCTCCCACCAGGAAAGAGGGAAACATATATGTGCAGTATTTTACTGAACGGTTAAATATATTTGAATAGCATGCTTTCCAGCATAATTTTTTCTCAAAAATAACCAGAATATCCTGTGTTACTTTCCACTTGAGCTTCTATTTGTATTAGATGAAGAAAGATTAATCTCATCAATTTCTGTGATTCTCTGATGATTGATTTCTTGCCTATATGCCATAGGTGAGGGAGGCGAGCAACCATCTCGTATGGAGCCTCTTCCTAATGGCACAATGAATCCCAAAAGAAGTGCCATTAAGCAAGTGGCTAGTGGGAGATTTGGAGTTTCAAGTTACTACCTTACAAATGCTGATGAACTGCAGATAAAAATGGCCCAGGTAATTGTGAAAATTAGTCCATTGAATTGAGTATATTGACCTTTTACTTAAATATCAAGAAATTTCATTGACTTGTCTCCTGACCCTGCATTACTGTTGGAGTTAAATTTCTATTGTTTGTGAATTTATAGTCATGGCAGATGATGCTATGATTTTCAAGGCACCTCTGGGTGCTCTTGTGTTGTTTAGTATACCTGCATTTGACCTTTGGTAAGGTTAGATAAAAACTGTGGTCTTTCAGTTACCAGAGTGGTATTGTCTTACCCATTATAATTGTCATCTATAGGGAGCAAAACCTGGTGAGGGAGGTGAACTTCCTGGGCACAAGGTTATAGGAGACATTGCGGTTACTAGGAATTCAACTGCCGGAGTAGGACTTATCAGTCCACCTCCCCATCATGATATTTATTCAATTGAAGACCTTGCCCAACTAATTCATGATCTTAAGGTACTCCCATCTGTGGATCCTACTCTTTTTCAATCGGTGCTTCTAATTGAATATTCCTTAAATAGGTGTTATTCCTATTTAATACCGTTTGTTAATTTGCAGAATGCCAATCCATCTGCTCGGATTAGCGTGAAGTTGGTATCTGAAGCAGGAGTGGGGATAATTGCTAGTGGAGTTGTTAAAGGCCATGCCGACCATGTGTTGATCTCGGGTCATGATGGAGGTACTGGGGCATCTAGATGGACTGGCATAAAGAATGCTGGGCTGCCTTGGGAACTTGGCCTGGCTGAGACCCACCAGACTTTGGTTGCTAATGATCTACGTGGTCGCACAGTCCTCCAAACGGATGGGCAACTAAAAACTGGGAGAGATGTGGCCATCGCTACTCTGCTTGGTGCAGAAGAGTTTGGTTTCAGTACTGCTCCGCTCATCACTCTCGGCTGCATCATGATGCGGAAGTGCCACAAGAACACTTGTCCAGTCGGCATTGCTACTCAAGATCCAGTACTCAGAGAAAAGTTTGCTGGAGAACCCGAGCATGTTATCAACTTCTTTTTTATGGTGGCAGAAGAAATGAGAGAAATTATGTCCCAGCTTGGGTTTAGGACAGTTAATGAGATGGTTGGTCGATCTGATATGCTTGAAGTTGATAAGGAAGTCATTAAGAGCAATCAGAAACTAGAGAACATTGACCTCTCTCTAGTGCTTAGACCTGCTGCTGAATTGCGTCCAGAAGCTGCTCAATATTGTGTGCAAAAACAGGATCATGGTTTGGACATTGCCCTGGATAACAAGCTCATAAGTCTGTCCAATGCTGCTTTGGAAAAGGGTCTCCCTGTATACATTGAGACTCCAATCTGTAATGTAAACCGTGCCGTGGGAACTATGCTTAGCCATGAGGTGACTAAACGGTACCACCTAGGTGGTCTTCCAAACGACACCATTCATATCAGATTTACTGGCAGTGCAGGCCAGAGCTTTGGTGCATTCCTCTGTCCTGGTATCACTTTGGAACTTGAAGGTGATAGTAATGATTATGTCGGTAAAGGGTTATCCGGTGGCAAGATTGTAGTGTATCCTCCAAAAGGAAGTAATTTTGACCCTAAGGAGAACATTGTGATTGGTAATGTGGCATTATATGGGGCTACTCAAGGTGAAGCTTACTTCAATGGGATGGCAGCAGAAAGATTTTGTGTTCGTAATTCTGGGGCTAAGGCTGTTGTGGAAGGTGTTGGTGATCATGGGTGTGAGTACATGACTGGCGGGACCGTTGTTGTGCTTGGGGAAACTGGTAGAAATTTTGCTGCAGGTATGAGTGGCGGGATTGCTTATGTTCTTGATTTGTATGGAAAATTCCAATCTCGATGCAACTTGGAACTAGTAGATCTGGATAAGGTTGAAGAGGAAGAGGACATTTTCACACTTAGGATGTTGATACAGCAGCATCAGCGTCACACAAATAGTCTGCTTGCCAAAGAAGTGCTTGATGATTTTGAGAATCTTCTTCCTAAATTTATCAAGGTGTTCCCTCGGGAATATAAACGTGTTCTTGCAAGTATGAAGTCCGAGGAACTGTCCAAAGATGCCATGGTGGATGCAGCAAAGGATGAACAAGAGCAAGATGACGAAGCACAAGCAGTAGAGAAGGATGCTTTTGAAGAACTCAAGAAACTGGCAACTGCATCTTTGAATGAGAAACAGAGTCAGGTTAGTTTTCTTTACTACCAACTTTTTAATAATATTTGTACATATGCTATTCTATTTTACAAGTAAAAGAAATTATATATTTTAAAAACTAAAACCCGTAAGTGCCGCGCGAGAAGGGTATACTTTGTTTTTAAAATGTGAATAACTTACAGTGAAAATGCAAGTACGTAGAGTAATTTTTGCACAGTTTATCCTGGTTGATGTGTTTGAATATCTGCAGGCTGAGACACCCAAGAGGCCTAGCCGAGCCACTGATGCCATTAAACATAGAGGTTTTATTGCTTATGAGCGCGAGGGTGTTCAGTATAGGGATCCTAATGTTCGCATGGCTGATTGGAAGGAAGTGATGGAGGAGACAAAGCCTGGTCCCCTTCTGAAAACACAGTCAGCCCGTTGCATGGACTGTGGTACCCCTTTCTGTCATCAGGTGTGCATTTCCACTTCCAAGTTTTCATTTTTAGATTACAACTTACATCTTCTCTTCAAAAGGTTTCTGGATCCGCATTTAAACTGAGGATATTTGCATCATATTTCAGGAAAATTCTGGATGCCCTCTTGGAAATAAAATACCAGAATTTAACGAGTTAGTATACCAAAATAGGTGGAAGGAAGCATTAGAGAGGCTTCTTGAAACAAATAACTTTCCGGAATTTACTGGTCGGGTGTGCCCAGCACCTTGTGAAGGTTCTTGTGTGCTTGGTATTATTGAGAATCCCGTATCTATTAAAAGCATTGAATGTGCCATCATAGACAAGGCTTTTGAGGAGGGATGGATGGTGCCACGACCTCCAGTCAAGAGAACTGGGTAAGCTGTTTTTCTTCTTAGCATCTCTTAATCTTTTTTATTCTGTTGCTCCCTTTTCAGCCAAATGTGTATAGATGTTCAGTAATTTTTTCTGTTTTTTAAAACGGTTCAACTTAGTTACAATAATTAGCAAAATTTAACTGGGAACATTAAATTTTGGAAATTCTCTCTTCACTTATTGGTTAGACAAGTGGTAGCATTACCTAATATCTTTCCTGATACAGGAAAAGAGTAGCCATCGTTGGAAGTGGACCAGCTGGTTTGGCAGCTGCTGATCAGCTAAATAAAATGGGTCATACGGTGACAGTGTATGAAAGAGCTGATAGGATTGGAGGGCTTATGATGTATGGGGTCCCCAACATGAAAACTGACAAAGTGGATGTAGTTCAACGACGAGTGAACCTTATGGCCGAGGAGGGAATAGATTTTGTGGTGAATGCTAATGTTGGAAATGATCCTCTGTACTCTCTTGATCGGCTTCGAGAGGAAAATGATGCCATTGTTTTGGCTGTTGGATCTACAAAACCTAGGTAAGGCACAATGACAATGACAAGAGTCTTATTACCTATTTGTTTTAGTTCAATTTCTTTGAGTGAACGAAAGTGTACTGAGAATTATATATATCATTTCATGAAGGGATCTTCCTGTACCTGGTCGAGAGATGTCAGGAGTTCATTTTGCCATGGAGTTTCTCCATGCAAATACTAAAAGCTTGCTTGATAGTAATCTCGAGGATGGTAACTACATTTCAGCCAAGGGAAAGAAAGTTGTGGTCATTGGTGGAGGTGACACTGGCACAGATTGCATAGGAACATCCATTCGTCATGGTTGTAGTAGCATTGTAAATCTTGAACTCCTTCCTCAACCACCACCAACTAGGGCTTCCGGCAACCCATGGCCTCAGGTTAGATTTGGATCATTACTTTCAAAATTCTCTATTACGTATCTTCTTAGTAGTAGACAAGCAGAAGACATGTAATTACTAGTAACGGCTAAATAAGTGTTAACATAATTTTGTTCATGTTAATTGTTATTGAATCGAGTCGTTTAGCTTAAACCACATTGTTTCTGAAATGCAGTGGCCTCGCATATTCCGAGTGGATTACGGTCACCAAGAGGCTGCAGCCAAATTTGGCAAAGATCCAAGATCGTACGAGGTTCTGACTAAGAGGTTCGTCGGAGATGAAAATGGAGTTGTGAAAGGACTTGAAGTAATTAGCGTCCGCTGGGAAAAGGATGAAACTGGCAAGTTTCAGTTTAAGGAAATCGAGGGTTCGGAGGAGATTATTGAGGCTGACCTAGTTTTACTAGCCATGGGATTCCTTGGTCCCGAGCCTGTAAGTATTCATCATAATACCTCTATTCTGTTTGCTTTAAAGCTACTTAACTCAAAATGGCACTTTTATGGAAAGGTGAAAGAGAAATAAGGTGCCTTTCTTATGTGTTATAAGAATAAATATTATACTTGGCTCCTTGATTATTTTTAGATTGCTCTTGAGATATCCTCCTTTAATTGTTTGAAAAATATTTCATTAACATTCCTTTTGCGTTGCATTGTATTAATCTTCTTTCATTATTTTAGAAAATATTACATCCTTTATCCCTAAAAAAGTTGTGGTAATTTGGTGAAAAGAACAGCAAACATGTGTGTTGAAGTTCAAGTATAAAAGAAGTTGTGGTAATAGTTAAAAAAAGTAGTAAATATGAATGTTGAAGTTCGATAATGAGTTAGAATCCTGGATAGAAATAGGAAAGTGTAGGAGAGACTGACAAACTTGTAGCCTTAAGTTTTTTGGGTTGAATTCTTTAGAGGTGTGAATATATATATATATATATATATATATATATATATAAGTTTTATTTTGTTCTAGCCAAGTTCATAGTTTGCAGCAATGTTTTTCCAACATAAGTTTTATTGTGTTCTAGCCAAGTTCATAGTTTGTAGCAATGCTTTTCCAACTGATATATGCTTTGCTTTTGTTTTTGCCAGACAACTGCAGAGAAGTTGGGTGTGGAGAGGGACAACAGATCAAACTTCAAGGCTGATTATGGCGGCTTCTCAACTAATGTGAAAGGGGTGTTTGCAGCAGGTGATTGTCGCCGGGGTCAGTCCCTGGTGGTCTGGGCCATTTCAGAGGGACGACAAGCAGCGGCACGGGTGGACAATTACCTCATCAAAGAAGATGAAGAATACAGGAACCAGGATGGGCTTGTCAAGAGGCAGCGGGGCCTCAACAAGAAGCAGCAGGGCGGCAGCAAACACACAGTGATGACTTAGGTGCCTCTTGTCATTTTTCATGATCATAAAGTTCCGAAAGAAATTGCACAGAATAAAATAAGATTGTCCCGAGGTTCAGCCCGAGATTCATTGGTTTACTTTAGGTATTCTTGATTGGCAGTAGCTACCACTACCCAAAGGGGCGAAATAATCAGAAATAAAGAAATTTAGTGTGTAGAAGCTAGAAGGACATCTTGGTGATGATGAGTCTAAAGGTAGAGTTGTTGCAGATTGGATTCGAGTGTTCAGTTGTTCATTGTTTGTTTGTTATTATTCCGGCTCTATTGTTGGGAAGTGTAGCTTGGTACTGTTGACGATTATATGTGATGAAATGTACAGTTTAATAATTATTATTTAGATATGATATTGTTTCAATGTTAAACATCTTTTGAATGAGCTAGATCATAAAGTATTTGTCTTTTAAATTCTGTTTTAAACTTTAAAAGAGATATTTGGTCACACATCCTTTATCTTTTGAATGCAGCTGCACATTTCTTGAGTTTTAAAACTGTGATGTAGTGTCAATTTTCGCAGAAGTCATCTTTCTATCATATGAAGTGATAGTCTAATCCATTTTAAGCATAGGTTTGACAACTCGTTAAAAAAAGATTTGTTTCGTAGGTTTGACAACTTGTTAAAAAAAGATTTGTTTCGTCGACTGTTCTCATGAACTTTTCAATTTCCTATTCGCTTATCCTTTATTCATCTTTCTCGCCCTCGTTGCTCCCTCGTTCGTCATCCCTTCGACTTTGGTCTTCTACTATACAGGTCGTCATCCCTTCGACTTTGGTCTTCGACTATACAGGTTTTAGTTTCCTATTCTCTCATTCTTTACTCACTTGAAAACAGTATAGGAGACAATCACGCTATGGGGGACAAACAGGGGAAATACTTTACTGTACTTCCTTCGCTTTCTTGATACTGTGCCAGAGATGGTCAGTGTCAGACTGTCGTTGCTAGGGAGAGGCCTTAAGGGCTTGACAAATCTAGTGACCGTGCTTCTTTAACACTGTGCCGGAGACGATTATGTAGCGGGAAACTGCCGCTGCTGCATTCGGTCGGAACTGCAGCACTCAGATAGCTTGAATCTGGAAAGGGTGAAAAGATTGCACAGGAGAATGACTCTCTCAGTAGCAACCTCGCCTTCACTTTTTGAACATTGACAAATGACTTCTTCCATTTTATCTCATTATTGTGCATTTCACTCTTCCAAATTCAAATTGAATAAAGATTTTAAGTAAATTCACCTTTTGTTGTGGTTTGAATGTTTGGTTTGGGTGTAAAAAATCATTTTCATTTTTATATATGATATATGAGGAGTTTTTTATTTTTTATATTTTATTATTTTATATATAAAATATAATAAAATATTAAATATTAATAACATTTTATATTATCTAAATTAAAATAATAATATAATATAATTTTTTATTTTAAATAATAAAAAAATATCTTACTATCATATTTAAATAAAAATAAAATAAAATATGTATTTTTAATATTTTTTATTCTAATATATGTTTTTTTTCTTTTTTCTTTTAACTATTATATATTTTTTATGAAATCTTCACTTTATCTAATTTTATTGTTTCCTTCTTTCATGTTTCTTTTGGAATAATATAAAGTTAAATTTATTTATCATCATGGTATTTCTTTTTATGAACTTTTGATTCTTGCCATACTCCTAAAATGGAAAAAGAAAAAAGATTTCATGCAAAAATCAGAACTTATGACTCTGAAAATGTAATTATATATTAAAGAACTAAATTTATAAAAAAATTATAAAAAAATTACATTGTTGATTTATTGTTTGAGAATGTTATGATAATGTTAAAGTTGTAAAAAAAAATTTAAAATTATTTTAAAATAAAAATATAAAGCACTTAAAAAAGGAATAAAAGAGGATTGAAAAAGAAAACTTTATCATCAAACTAGTCTAACATTGTTACTAGAAAACAAAACTTAAAGAAACAACAATATTTTAAAAAAGAATTACTTGAAAAGAATTACTTGAAAAGAATTATTTGAAATGCAATAAATGTTACAATAAAAACATTTTGAAAAGGAGAAGATAAAAACATTCTTAAATGTCAAATACGATACTCTTACGTAAAAGGAGAAATAATTCAAAAATTGTATCTGTGAATAAAAGAAGTTTAAGCTTGAGTTAAAAAATTACATAATTTCAAATAATTTAAATTTATCATGAATTTATCTATGTTAAAAGATAACGAAACAAATAAAAAGGAAGAATTTAAGGAAATCTTTGATATATTAAGGAATAAATAGAAGAATAAATCTTATAAAAAAAATATAGGATAAAATGAAAAAATATAAATTCAAATAAATTCATATTAAAATAAAAAATATTAATAATATATATTTTCTTATCATATTAATTTTTGTTATATTATTTAAAATAAAAAAAATTATATTATTATTTTAATTTAGATAATTATGATTGATATATTATTAATATTTTATATGTTATTATATTGTTATTTTATATACAAAATACATAAATAAAATATAACAAAATTATTAAAACTTCACTATATTATTATTATTATAATAATAATAATAATAATAATAATAATATATTTTTCATATTATAAACGATATAAAAATCTCATGAAAAAAAAACATGTATTTTGAACCGACGACAACAAATTACTTAGACTTTAACATTTGTCATCCTTGTGTTGTGAATACCGAGAAGTTAATTGTTTGTGGGTAAAGGTTTTTAACTTAAATAGTTGTTAAATTAAGGCTATATTTTGTTATGTAATTGAAAATTTAATTACTAAGTAAAAGTTGTTAAACTTCACCTTTTAAAATGTTATGTTCATTTCTATAAGAAAACATGTTTCTTTTTATAATCATATTATTTCTTAAAAGCGTAAAAATCTTGGTATAATCAATGTTGAAGAGATATTTGTAATAATAGAATTGACCATTATATTTATTTTTCAAAAAGATTGAATACTGTTTATCTTATTTCAAATTTATATAAATGATACTATTTTTGGATTTGCTAATTATTTCCTCCGTGAAACTTCTTCTAAGCTAATACAAGGTGAATTTGAGATAAGTATAGGACAAAATTTAATTTGACTTTTTTTTTTAATTTATTGAGAAAATATAACAGATATAAAATAGGAGCTTGTTTTGTAATAATTATTATTTTGAAATTAATTTATTTACAAACCTCGATACTATTTTTATTTTTTCACTAATAAATCGATAAATTAATCTTAGAATTCAAGATGATACATGTACATGTCATATGAAATATGTTAAAGAATTTAATTTTTAAAAAAATTATATATTTATATGAAAGTAAAGAAACGGAAATATATTTTTATATAAACTTTTTGTAATATTTAAATCCTTGAAAATCAACTATACAAGCAAAATTGTCACCTTGACTAGCGAATAGAAGTTTCACTCCTAAGGATGATGAATATAAGTGTCAAAAGAGTACTTCAATCTATTCTTAAAAAATTTAATAGTCCAATTTATCTATATTTTAAAAAGTTAGACTAATAAACTAATTTTGATGTGATTGAAAAAAAAATATGAACAAATTTATATAAAATAAATTAATTAAAAAATATTTAAATAAAAAATTAAATATATTTTAAAAATTAAAATTTTATTAATAAAAATAGTTTTTATTTAAGATATAATAATTTAATATATAAAATATAGGAGAATGTATTAATTCAATCTTAAAATGAGAATTAAAAACTTTTTTATTATTATTATTATTTACTTTTAGTAGTTTATTAATTTAAAATAATAATTAATCTTAACTATTATTATATCTTAAAATAAATGATAAATTAATATAATAAATAATATATTAAAAAAATTACTTAGGTTTATTTATCACATTAGACTTTTTACTGTTCAGAAACAAAATTTAATAAAGAAAAACAAATTCATCTAACATAGAGATATTTTTTTTCATTCATTTTCTTATTTTCTTTCTCTCTCTTGGTTTACTTTTTTTTTTTTCTTGTTCTTCTCTCCCTTCATTTTATTCTTCAATTAAAATTAATAGATTAAAATTTAATAACATAAATATTTTATTATTATTAAAAATAAAATATTTAAATAATAAAAAATATTGTAATTTAATATATTATATTTGAAAAAAATATTATATGATAAAATTGAGATGTTACAAATTTTATTGTTATGTTATAATTATTAAAAAATTAAATTTTTATTTTAAATTATTTTTTAATAAATGTTTTTAAAATAATATAATTTAATTAATTATCACAACTCAAAATTTGTATAATTACATATAATTATTAAATAAAATATATATTTACTTTATAAATATTTAATATATTTTTAATTAGATGAGTAATTATTTATTATGATAAAATAATTTTCAATTAATTATTTACATTATCATAAATAAAATTATTTATTTTTAAAATAAATAAAATTATTTATTGTCGCACAATTTTAAATAATTAGATAATATTTTTTAGTTTTAATATAGTTTTTAAAATATTAGTTTTAACATTTTTATTAAATTTAATGTAGTAGTTCAATTAGGAGAATTAGTGAGAAATGATAGATAAACCAAAAAAAACAGAATGAATGAAGAAAGAGAATAAATAAAAAATTATGAAGAGAGAAGGAGAGTTATGAAATTTAAAGAGTTCTAATAAATTCATATAGATTCTATTAGAGGAATTTTTCTTTTAAAATATATTATTCTTAGTATTAAGTTAATATATATTAAATATTTATTGATTAAGTTAATCCCATCAAGTTAATTTATAATATATATATATATATATATATAATAAAATAATATATATATTTTTATTTAAAAATCATTATTATTATATAAAATAGATCTAATAAAATAGATCGTCTTAGCTTGATTTAAATCTATATAGACAATGATCTAAATAGGTTGAGAAAAATAATTTTTATTTAATTTAACAAATTTTTTAATTTAATCTAATTTATTT